AGAAAATCAAATATTGCACGTATTTTGGTTTTTACCTCTCTGTAAAACGTATGGGAGCCATTTAACGGTTTTCTCTCTTTTCCTGTGACTAATTTTCTAAACGGTAGAAAATTATGCCTAAGTCACATAGACTACACTACCCATAATACTCTGCGGACATACTTACCCACATGCTAAGCGCTAACCCGCTTAAATTTAAACTAGCGTACACAACACAGTATATTACCGACAACATCCGTGTATTTCAAAATTATAGTGAACAGTAAGGTATCCGCTGTTGCAGTTTTTACTATTCAACAGGTAGCGGACTCTTACCACACACTCGCAGCGACGAACTTCGCGGTCCGGCAGCATAAAGTGTCCCAGTGGAAGCGCAAATCCCGGGAGAGTTCTGCTTTTAAGTTCCATCTTGGGAGAGGGAAAACTTGCGTTTGGTGTAGAGGGGGTCATCTGTTGTTACCATTGTTCAAACATTTAGTGGGTCCTGTCATAATTATAAATATAATTATTAAATATATTATATAAGTGCGGAAATATGTGGATTTATTAGTTATTGGAAATCATGTATATATTTTTGATAATCACATTATATTTTTTGCAATCCTCCTACTACATTGTCAACCCTATCATAATGAGCTCAACCGTTTATCCAATCTGGCTTTGACTTAAGTTGTAGAAGTAGATGAATTTTCTTGCAAGTTTGACTTGGCTGTGCTGTGACTCCAAATGTTTAGCCTTTGAAGCTAGATAACACTTTGTCGCCAGCACGGAGTGTACAACGAATCTTTACATTGTCATCTTTAATTGACACAAACTCAAAACAGTGAGTGTATTTGCAGCTCGAAAAAAAATACGACTCTCTCTCCTCCTGCCATCATTGTTTACACTTGAGTGTTACACGTGAGTTGCCTCATGCTGAATATGTGACTTGTCGCATAGGTGATGTCACTCCCCTGAGACGCAAGAAGAAAGCAAACGACATAATGACAAATTAGTAACACACACACTGACTTGGATAAGCAACTGATTACTGGTTTGGAAAAACATCAGATTACAGCAGCGGAGGGGGGGGTATTTCGGGTGGGACGGGTGAGGGTCTTCCAGTGGAATATGGCACACCGGACATAAGTGTACCACTGATGTAATGCTTGAACGATAACAAGCCACCAGTCACTAGGTGGCAGCATATCATGCAAAGGTTTGTACAGATAAAAATATACATGTTATCAGGTTCTCAGTGGTACTTCAATTCGCTGGGGTGTGGGTTGAGGGGGGGGGGCGTAAAAACATTTTACCAAAGAGCTGGACCCAGTCTGTCCAGTTCTCTGATGCCAACAAAGCCCTTGTGCCCCAAAAGAAAAACACGGGACGTCAAGAGCGAAACCTCAACGATTGTCGAAAAGCATTTCAGCAGTTCAATCTGTACATCTCCGCACCATGAGTTGTGGATAAGCATGCACAAACACGCCTCTTTGGACTTACCGGCGGCTGAGGCTGAGGTCCAGTCGTCTGGGTGTAGAGAGTAAGTCTGTAAATAACTGGCTGTCTGGGAGTTTGGTGGAAATTAGAGCGCAAACTCTCAGTTCTAACTGCGAAGTAATCCCAGTTCTTATCTCACCCAGTTTGTTTTCCAGAGGCTGCATGTTGACTAGCAACAGTCTGGGTAGCCGGGGTCGACCAGCACAATCTTTTAGCCTGGGCCGTCTCGCATCACTCGTGCTGCCAACTCCAACTGCTCCCTGGGATCAGCTTGCACACCCGGTGCAAGGTTGGGTCATTGAGTTGAAGCTCTGTATTTGTATAAAACCAGTTAATGTAAACAGGAACTTCAAAATGACCGTGTGAGCGGGGTGATGTCCAGCAGTGTCTGACTGTTTTGTGTTAGCAGTGCATGACATCTGTGCACCGCAGGGAAGACGGGGAAAGAAAACAGTAAAAGAAAAAAAAGAAAAGGTAGCATCCAAGAACAAGGAAAACACATCTCCTCCTCAGCGTTCTGCTACCAGTGCTTACTAGAAGGCAGCCATTTTTTTTTCTACATTGTTTTTTTTCTTCTGACTTGACTAAACTGACTGAGTCAGACCGCACATCAAGGCTTGTGTTTAGGTTTTGGCTTCAAATATTACAGCAGTCAGTTAGGTTTACTCTTTAATCAATAACTCCGAGTCTCTCACACACACACACGCACACACACACGCACAGGCTCTGGATCAGCATTTCTGATCTCATTAATTCCTGTAGTAAAACAAAATGTCAACACTGCACATGTCTATAACACTTTGTGTTTTGGGGACAAATTGCAGGGAGATCATGAATCGGCCCTTTTTTTTTTTTTTTCTTTTTTTTTTTTCTTCCCCACAGTAACTCATTTTAAATATCATAATTAAATCTGCAGATTGGAGACGTGAATCAAAGTGTGGTTGTATGAGATGCTGACACATCCCAAGTGCTGACTTCTGCTTCAACCAGCTTGATGCGGAAGCTGTCCCTCAGTGAAAATCTGGCTCAGTCAGACTTTTCTGAACTGAAGTTTGTAAAATACTGACTCTCCATAAACAGCATAAAAAAAAATCACACCTGCAGGTCTATTGCTTCTTCCTGCGATTATTTGTGGAACTAAAGTAAAAAAAAAGTAAATTTCTTAAAAGAGGATTATAAACATATATGTTAGTTTTTCTTTAAACTTATAACTATATTTATGTAACTAAAGTGTTCCCTCTCTATATCGCGGTTCTCCTTTCGCTCCCTCAGTACATTGCGATATTTTTTTTAACCCGACCTAGCAAAATCTTTGCTATATCGCAAAATATAGCACAAAATAAACGACATAAAAGACATTCTAAAATAAATTCAGCTTTAAAAATGTAGATTTTCGCTTTGAAATTGAGCATGAAATTGAAATTAGCGCATTTGCGAACAATCGTTGGTAGCGTGTTTATAAAGGTTCTCAGACGTCATCCAGGTCAAGTTGTTGTCTCAGGAGAAAATGTCATGTCCAGTTGCCTAACAGAACTCTTTAACCTTGATCGCTGGTAGCGTTGTTTACCAAGACGAGATTGTACACAGCATACTATTGGCTAATTGGGCACGCTCTTCTGTTCCTCTCGCTGATTGGCTCATGCATCGCAGCATCTCTCAGCATCTCCTCCTGTCTGTCGGCCACTCTCTCGATTGATGGGGGTTCCTAAAGGGTAAATATATACAGGTAAATAATACAATAACTATCTCGCCTCTATTTCGCGATTTTTCCCATTTCTCGGTGGGTCTTGGAACATAGCTAACGCGCTAGGAGAAGGATCACTGTATATATATCTGTATAATGTTTTGATATATTACACACTAAGTCTCTTATTCACATCCACTTTAAGGTACACTATACTGTATATATATTCAATGTTTCTGTTTACTGTCAGCTTCAGCATGACTGGTCTGCTTCAACAGGATTGTCATTTCCTGACTAAGCTCAACCAGAGGGACACAAAAGGCTCTGAAGTGAAAAATATAACAACCATCCAGATCCACCTGTTGGGTTTTTCTGTGACGGCAGCTGCAACATTGATCCTGAACACATCCCAGTGATGAGATGCAGCCCTGTAGACAGAAAGACAGACAAAATCGATGAGGACGAGATGACAGGCAGATAAGACTAATCTGATCTCTGTGCTGATGACGGTCGCGTGAGGTGACTGTGCACTTATTCACAAATGTGATTCCACGATCGTTAAATCAGGTCTGATCAGGTACAGAACCAAAAGGACAGGGATGTTCTCAAAGTGCTGATATTAACGATCAGACTCCAAGTCTCCTTTAAGGACAACAGATTCGAATTCAGTTCAAATGGTTTTCTTTTCCTAAGAACAATTTTTTCTGTTTATGGATTCACAGGACAGACTGATGCTGTCTGTAAACATCTTTTACAAAGAGTTGTTCTGAGTTTAGACAGATGGATGGATGGGTGGATGGATGGATGGATGGATGGATAGATAGATAGGTAGGTAGATGGATGGATGGATGGATGGATGGATGATAGATGGATGGGTGGATGGATGGATGGATGGATGGATGGATGATAGATGGATGGGTGGATGGATGGATGGATAGATGGATGGATGGATAGGTAGATGGATAGATAGATAGATAGATAGATGGATAGATGGATGGATGGATGGATGGATAGGAAGATAGACAGATGGACGGACGGACGGACGGACGGACGGACGGACGGACGGACGGACAGACAGACAGACAGACAGACGGATAGACGGGTGGATGGATGGATGGATGGATGGATAGGTAGGTGGATGGATGGATGGATGGATGGATAGATAGGTAGATAGGTAGATGGATGGATGGATGGATGGATGGATAGACAGATAGACAGATAGATGGATGGATGGATGGACGGACGGACGGACAGACAGACAGACAGACAGACGGATAGACGGATGGATGGATGGATGGATGGATGGATGATAGATGGATGGATGGATGGATGGATGGATGATAGATGGATGGGTGGATGGATGGATGGATGGATGATGGATGGATGGATAGGTAGATGGATAGATAGGTAGATAGATAGTGAGAGGGATGGATGGATGGATGGGTGGGTGGGTGGATAGATAGATAGATAGACAGATAGATAGATAGATAGATAGATGGATAGATGGATGGATGGATGGATGGATGGACAGATAGATGGATGGATGGATGGATGGATGGATGATAGATGGATGGGTGGATGGATGGATGGATAGATGGATGGATGGATAGGTAGATGGATAGATAGGTAGATAGATAGTGAGAGGGATGGATGGATGGATGGGTGGGTGGGTGGATAGATAGATAGATAGACAGATAGATAGATAGATAGATAGGTAGATAGATAGATAGATAGATTTATGAGACATCTTTAAGAGCAGACTAAAGACTGCTCAGAGCAACAGTGCGGCCACAGATGGATGTTGACTATGTTGGAGAACGAAGTAAGAGGGCGAAATCCGAAATAACCCTATCCCTACAGGGAAACCCACAGGTGGGAGTATTAAACCATGGTGATGCATCGGTGCATACAGAAGAAGGAATCATGTGTAGGTGGAAAGAACTCTGCAAAAGGTTAGACAACAGTTATCTCCAGGGGACAGCTAAGCAATTCTTCCAAGAACCTCTGCAGTCAGATACTAGATCAAAACTAAACACAGCTGATGAACTGATCCGGTTGCTAATGATGAGGTCACAGTTCCCAACCAATGATTCGATTGGCAAAAATAAATTGCACCAATTCACCGTTCAGGGAACTGATCTACTGTGTGAACATTGTGACTGTTGGTTGAACCCCCTGCTGAGAACAGCTCTGCTGTGTTCTCCTGTTCAAAAGTCAAAAAGCTTTCAAAAAGAAGAAGGGGGAAAAAAAAAAAAAAACAAGTCCCAGTTAAGGGCCCCGCCCCGTCACATCAACATCGTCGCCTGCTTTGACAACCCGTTGCTACGGGTTACCATCGCATCCATCAATCACTTTGGAGTAAAACAATGACGTGATCTGTGCTGACAGAATGGGTCACTATGACAACACAAAGGCCTGCTAATGACTGAATGGGAAGCAGGAGGGGTGGACCCCAACTCCACGCTGCTTCACTGAGAGGATTAACAGGTCCCTTACAATCGCTGCTAATCTAGCTAATTAGGACAAGGGAAGGTGGGTGGAGAGGAGAGGGGTGAAGGGGGGGCGGGGGGGGGGGTTAAAGGACATTAATATTTATAAATTGTTTAACCTTTAAACTCAGATGCTTAAATGACATCAACATGAGGCATTTACTGTACCTCTTAGGAAAATGACGCTATTACGCTATTGCTAATCTTTACTTACTTACTGTTATTACTATACAAAGATTCACAGAGTCAGGGGACTAAACTTCTCTGTCCTAACCCTGACCCTTCTCAGAGACCTCTTCCACACAAAATCCTAAAAAATGACTGGTCTAGACCAGCGGCCCATTTTTTGGTACCAAGGACTGGTCGGCTTGATTGGCCTATTGTTTTGAAACATCGCCAGATAGAGGTAAATTAGTAAAACTCAAGTACATTTCCTCACTGTGACCCACTGCGGTACGGTACCAAATGACTCTGGTGCTACCATTGTTTTATGAGATGTTATAAATAAAAAAAATAAATAAAAATTTTTCCCCAAGATTGGGAAATACAGTGTGAGTCTTTGCAGCCGACGCAGGCCACACGGAAGGCTCCTCTGGGAACGGTACCCAGGACTCTCTGTTCTCTGCTTGCGAGGCAGCTGGCTAACACTATAACACCGCACATAACAGATGGTCATGAGTCTTAAACCTCCCCCCCTTTCCCCCCACCAAAAATATGTGATCAGTCTTTCTACTGTATCCAAAGCTTCAGACCTGAAGATATAAGTGGCACATGGCTAACCCTGATTAGCCCTCGTTAGATAATCCTATCCTCACCTTGTGGTTAATGGCGTCACACTGCGAACTGATGAAAATTTACTGTTAAATTATCAAGGCAAGACCTCCTACAGAGCATGAGTAATACGATGAACTGCAATGGAAGGACGTTTTTAAAGCCATTTTTGAAATGCTAGTGTACCAAAGCCTTGTTTTAACTTGGCATCTAGTGGCCAGTATTGTTACTGCAGCCAAAAAAGCACTTCCGGAGTGCTTCAAAAATGTGTCTATTTGTTTATATGCTGTGTGTGAGTCAAACTGGTACAGTGCAGTTAAAGCTA